GGATCCAGGACGGCATGAGCGACGATGAGTTGGTGGATCTGCTGCCGCAGTTTGTACAGGTGGGATAGGAGTCGGGGGAGGAGCCTGCGATGGTTGTGTGTTATGGGAATGGATTCTAATTGGTCGGTTTCTTGCTTCCTGTAGGCGTTAAAACATGAGATCTACCTGGATAATGCGCTGGTGCGCTTCCTACTGTCCCGCTCTCTGGGAAATATCCGAGTGGCACACTATTTATACTGGTGAGTGTTCCCTGCCGCCGCCGCCGAACAAAATCCATTTCTTTTATTTTTAGATTATTGAAATTCTGAAGCATTTTTATCTCTCGGCCCAGAAATGTTCCATCCTCGTCCCGCTAAAAATAAACCTTGTGACTGAATCCCGCGGACAGGCCGGAGAGCGCCAGGGAGAAACATTAACCCTTCGTGGCATGATGGCGGGATGGTCTGGCCACAGCGGGAGGGGCACTGACTCATGTCAGTCAGAAAGCGGCAATTTTGGGGCTTTCATGAAAAAAATGCTGATTTTCTAATTTGTCTTAAAGGAGAACTATGAGGGGGGAGAGGGGGAGGGGCTTCTCACTCACCTCATAGTTCAGGGCGACGTGTGACAATGAGACTGTCACAGGTCGGCTCAGTAGATCGGGAGGTGAGAGAGCACATACCGGCGTTCGCTCACCTCTCGATCCTGTCATGGCTCTCTGCCGTGACAGGGGAGGGGCTGGATTGCCCCCTCCGATCCTCCAGCGCTGTCTGGCGGAACGGACGGGGGAGGGGGCGGGTACAGCCTCTAGATTGGCAGAGCCAGCTGTCACTCACGCAGCTGGGCGGATCCAGACATAATTGTCGGGATCCGCTGCGGCGTCTCAGTATACCGCGAGCTGTATCTCCCTATATACTGAGCCTAGGGTGACGGGAGGACGCTAGTTTGTGTCCCCATGTGACCCTGAGGAGAACTATGGGGGAAAGCCTTTAAGAAGCAGCCAAATGATAATTGATACATCGATCAGCCATAACATTATCACCACTGAGAGGTGAACGAGTCTGAGGTGATGACTCCGCCTCCAAATTCTCCGGATCTCAGTCCAATCGATCATCTGTGGGATGTGCTGGAGAAACAAGTCCGATCCATGGAGGCCGATCACCCCACAACTTACAGGATCTGCTGCTGACGGCTCGGTGCCGGATACCCCAGCACACCTCCAGAGGTCTAGAGGAGTCCGTGCCTGGAGGGGTCAGGAGAAGGGGAACCTACCCAATAGGGGGGTCATCCAGATACCACAGCATGTCTCTGCGTGGAGGCAGCTGCGTCTCTGCGTGGAGGTCTCTGCGGTGAAGCCGCTGCGTCTCTGCGTGGAGGCGGCTGGGTCTCTGCGTGGAGGCAGCTATCTTGGTAGGGGATCAGGGCTCATAAATTCCGGGTCCACTCCTGCGGTCCAGTGACCACACTTCAGGTACTTCAGTGAACTTGGCTTTGTGTTTCAGGCTGTTGAAGGACTCTCTGAATGATCTGCACTTTGGGAGCCGCTATGAGAAGATTCTCGGAGTTCTTCTCTCCATCATTGGGAAAGGATTGCGACAGGAACTGGAGAAACAGACCAGACTCACCCAAGTTCTGGGTGTCGTGGCGGAGAAGGTCCGGCAAGCGAATGGTTCTGCGAGACAAGTAAGATTATTAGTGTCTATATCCATGGAGGTGATAATAGTGTGTGCGTGTGCTGTGTGTGTGCGTGTGCTGTGTGTGTGCGTGTGCTGTGTGTGTGTGTGTGCGTGTGCTGTGTGTGTGCGTGTTCTGTGTGCTGTGCGTGTGCTGTGTGCTGTGTGTGTGCGTGTTCTGTGTGTGTGCGTGTTCTGTGTGTGTGCGTGTGCTGTGTGTGCGTGTGCGTATGCTGTGTGTGCGTGTGCGTATGCTGTGTGTGCGTATGCTGTGTGTGTGTGTGTGCGTATGCTGTGTGTGCGTATGCTGTGTGTGTGCGTATGCTGTGTGTGTGTGCGTATGCTGTGTGTGTGCGTATGCTGTGTGTGGACCTTTCACAGGGTTGGTGCCGCACAGACACATTAGGAAGTTTCCCTTTTCCTGTCCCCATAACTTCTCTCATCCTCACCGGGAGCATTTCCCTGTCTTGAGGTTCCGGATCAGTTTCCTGCAGCTTTGTATGAAAAGAAAGCCAGCGGAATGCGGGCCCCCAGTACAGACTGGTTCTGACCCAGTGGAGATCCAATGATCAGTCCTTCCTGTGTATTGGAAGATCCTCGGGAAGGGTGACGTCTTGTTGGGCTGAGGAGGAGTCCGGGGCACCCTGCCGGCGCAGACACTTTGGTCGTAGGACTCTCGTCTCCCAATGAACCTCCTTCGCTATCACCGCAGCATTGGGCCGGAGGGGGTCATGTGATCAGACAAAACTACGGCTGTGCAGCGCCATCATCCCTCGAGGAGGGATCGGGCGGCATGACACAACTTCACGTTGCGGCCTTGTCTGCGCCGTACATCCCAGGTATAGACAGTCCGCAGGCAGACTACCGAGCCCCCGGGGGAAGAGTCCCTACACCCAGAGGGGTTCCCGGTCTGTCACATGTGCAGCACACAGGATGAGGCCCTTCTGGCCTCCAAACCGCATGTCTTGTTTCCAGGTACAGGGATCCCATAGCGGAGGCAGTGGCTGCTCTGGTGGCTCTGTTGGGTCAGTACACCATTGCCGGATCCACATTGGTATGCGTGGAAATGTTTATGAGGACTTGTGTTGAGTTGCTGCCACATAAGGAGCTGCTCAGGTGCGGCTAGGCCGGGCTTCACGTATGTTACATGTATGTTAGTGACGGGAGTGCTGTGTTTTCTCTGTTCCGCCAGATTGTCCTCCAGGAGGGGATGGAACGGGTCCAGCTTCTGTTCCGGAAGAACAAGATCCGTTTACCGCTCAGTCCAAGTCTGGAGGCCAAAGAGCTGAATGTGAAGGTCAGTCCGGCAGATAAACAGACGCGGGGGGGCTGAGCTCTGTATGTTACACAGTGCATGCTCTGGGGG